CTTTTGCCTGCACGTGGTAACCGGTAAATGCGCATTTCTAGATCGACGTTTGCCTCGCCGAGGAAGCTTGCAACGTTTCGTCATTTGCTGCTCTGACCTTGTGTCACGAAACATCTCCCGTGAGAGCATCCAAAACGTGTCACTTCCAACAGTCTCAACGAGAGAGGTGTAATGATTGTAAGTATCAAATGTGAAAACGCATTTTGCAGCCTTTTAAGCCATCTTCCTCAATGAATGTAGGCCTGGTCCGTTTACTTTCTTTTTTACTCCATTTGTCGAAGTTAAAGCAAAAATGTGACCGGGCGTTATCAAGTGGCAATTAATTTGTGGAACACGAACACGAGTAGTGCTGTAACTTTACTCGCTCAGCGCCTTAACACAAAATGAATTTGATTGTGGTCTATTCCCGTAATTGACGTAACCGAGCTTATTTTATGTATACAAACTGAGGCCCTAATAGCCGTTTTCTGGAACCTGAAGTGCATTGTATCGGATACTTAACAGAGTAACCTCTTACCAGCATGGGAATTTAAGTTAGTATTCTGAACAGACAATATACCTTGTTTTGGAATTTAGTATCGAATGTAGTTGGCAAAAAGGCTCTTGAAAAACGTGTCGAGGTTAAAATATGACTGGAAAATAAGATTTCGTCAAGTAATATTAGGTTATGCCACGGATCTAGGGTTAACGAAACACTGAAAATCTGATTGGAAGAAAAAATCCCTAAAAAGAACCAGCATTTTTCGCTATGAGACAAATTTATTGTTGCCTTTGAATGACTAGAATTCCGAGCAGATTCATTCGTTCTTGCAATCCAAGATCCGTTCTGTGAAACACCTTGTTAAATTCTTTTCTTCAGAAGAGTTCCACAGGCGGACGCCATTAATTATTCTGGACAGTGACTCATTAACTGTAAGAAAGCAAACGCGTGTCAGGAACAGTAAAATTGACTAAGGAAAATCTAAGTCTTTACTTAGAAAACACTCATGGGGTTTGTGCACAAGCTCCCTCCGTACAAGAAAAGAAACCATCTTGTTAGGCTAATTAAGCCATGTATTGATGAAGAGTAAAGCCAATTTTGATCTTGAGCATTTCCCATGTGGCATAAACTGAAAAAGTTGGAAGACTGATCCACTAAGATAAAACTCTCACGCTTCAATGCAATTAGTTTTACAGAAAGGAACAAATTTGCCTGCCTTTGAAATAATAAAGTCATACAGCGTATTAAACACTTTGCCGTTTCACTAGCATCAGTGACAACAATTTGTTGCTTCTTGTGTGAATTGCTTTTTATTTTCTTGAGATGTTATTTGGACATTTTCATGACATCATTTTGTATAAAGTAAAGAATTCTCATTGTCTTTTTTGTGTGTCTTGTTTGCTTTTGCTATAGAAACG